GGATAAAAATTTCAAGTTCTGAACTGTTCTGTATCCTTTGCAGGCAGAAAGCAAGCACACAGAAACATACTATACAGACAGTAGAGTTGCTTTGGAGCTACTAACCTAGAGAAAATATCTATGGCAACATCTGCTTCAGTTACATATACAAAGCATTTCATAAAATATTAAGGAGAAGAGAAAGCTTCATAAATAATTCAAATTTAATAGAAGCTCCTAGGGCCAGCTGTTTCCATTTAGAGAATGAAAGCTATAGAAAGCACTTTAACATTTATAGTATGTAGTGTCTGCATGAATTACCCTTACAACATCATTGGGACTATGTTATGTTGTAAGCAAGCAGGAAAAACAGATTTTTACCCAGATGAAAAATAACACTGTGGAATAAAAAGTCTAGGTTTTCAAACTTTCCATTTGGCTAGAAATATCTGGGTTGCTTTCTGAACCATAACCAGAGCAGCATAATGAACTCTTTGAAACAGAAAAGCACATGGAATAAAACTTGTAGGTGTGAACTCTTCTCACTTGCAAAAACAGGGCACATCTCCAAGCTACATCATTCATATTGATTTTTTATTCCTATCACTTTCAGTTTTGACATAAGAGCATCTCATTTATACCTTACCCCCCCAGGGAGAGAGAGAGAGAGAGAGATATGAGTGAAGGCAGAAAATAAAAACTTATCTCTTTGTCTCTAAAGCATTTCATAAATTTTTAATTTATTTTCAATAAGAATAAGATAAAGAGATAATATATAACAGTAGAATAACACTACAGTAATAGAAGTGCATGTGGTGTGAGAAAGAAAGAGAGAACAGAGAGATGACAGAGAGAGACAGAGACACACTCTCAGGCTCAGTCTGTCTTCCTTTCCATAAAACAAACATGCGATTCATAATGTAAGAGACACTAAGAATGCCTAAGAAATAGTATAGTATTTGCTGGTTTTCATGCCTACATATTTCATAAACTAAAAATAGTGTATTTAACTTAATATTTTCTTTGAAAAAGAAGTTTCAAAAATTATGTCAAATAATTTTGTTCTAACAAAATTAGAATAAAAATATAGTCTCAAATAAAGTTGGAAGTATCCCTGCCACATTCCTACTAAATGAAAAATTCACTTCGAAATAATTCATGGATTAATGAGGGGAAAATATAGAAATAAAAATAAAAGCCCCTCACCCCTCAATATTACAGATTGTAGTAGAAGTAGGGTATTTGTGTGTGTGTAAAACATTTTTTAAAAATAGCAAGAACATAAAGTGAACATAGAAAGAAATACTTTGGACGAAGGTAATAATTCATGAAAAAGAACAATGAAAAATAGAACAAAACACATTTCTAGCAAAGTTAACAAAACTGACTAGTTTCACAAAAAAAATAAAATGCAAATAGAAATAACAAGGGAGATAGCCAGAGAGACTGACATGCTCTTAAAAGATGTGTGCCACCAGATCTGATGTATGGACAACTATATAGGAAAATGAAAGCTGCTAAAACATACTAAAAACAAAACAAAAAATAATCAAAAATGAGAAAAGAGTTCAGAAAACCTGAATTGACTACTAAACATAATTTTTTTCAGCAGTTCCTCCAATAGACAAGTTTCTGTAGACATTTTCCTTTAATATTCTCTTATTATTTCAAACATATACATTAAAACAAAAAGAACTGGCGAGGTGTGGTGGGGCATACCTTTAATGTTAGTACTTTAGAGGCAGAAGCAAGTGGATCTCTGTGAGTTCAAGACCAGCCTTTTCTACACAGTAAATCCCAGGCCAATCAGGACTACACAGTGAGACCCTGTCTCAAAGATAAATGAAATAATGAATAAATCAATAAACAGTCTATAAAGACTTTCACAATGAACACCTGCATACTTATTACCACAACTCCACAATTATTATTTTCCTTCTTTTTCTTTCAAAAAGTACCCATCTATTTATTCATCCTTGTTTCTACACATCAATGTTTTTACATCTTTTATTGGGTTCTGGGTAGGGATAAACATAGGACAAGATACCAAAAGGATCATGCTAGTAATATTTATATTTGATATCAACTTAGCATCATAAATGCTTTTCCTTCTTTAAGTTTTTAAAGATTTATACGATTTTATGTGGATGAATGTTCTGTCTGTTTGTATGTATACATTATGTGCAACATGTGCATGCCTGATGCCCATGGAGGTCAAAAGGTGGTGTTAGATCCCTTGGGCCTAGAGTTACAGTTGGTTAAGAGTGAGTCAACATATGGATGCTGGTATCTGAACCTGGACCCTTTACAAGAACAACAAGTGCTCTTAACTGCTGAGTCTTCTCTCCAGGCTCCTTTTAATGTTTTTTTGTTTGTTTGTCTTTTTAACACATAGAATCAGGAGCTCAGGTACACTGAAACAAGACCATTTGCATTAGGTGTTTAGGATAAAGAATCTGTGTACCCTTCTCATTCCTATCTTTGAACATGAATTCCTAAACAGTTTCTAAATACATTAGCCAGTCTCCTTGACAAAAGAAAGGGAAGAAGGGAGGGAGGGAAGAAGGGAAGAAGGGAGGGAGGGAGATAGGGAAGAAAGAAAAATAAAAAAGAATTGAGCTATATCTTTTAAAGGAGTAGATCTAGGTAGTAGAATGCATAAATTTTAAAATGCATAGTCAGGAAATAATTGTAACAAATTTCCCAGAAAGTAACATTTATAGGGATATATCATTATCTTCTAAAACAATCATATATTCAATGTGGCATATCAGCAAAGTTAACAGGTCAATATTTTAAATGAAAAGATTATCAAAGAATGACAAGATATAGAAAATGAGTTTAGAGCCAGGTATGATGGTGTATACCTTTGAGACCAGCACTCAGGAGACAGAGGCAGGAAGATCTTTGTGAGTTTGAGGCCAGCCTGGTTTACAGACCGAGTTCCAGAACAGCCAAGGCTACACAGAGAAACCATTTCTTAAACCCTCCCTACCCCCCAAAAGAAAGTGAGTTTAGGGCTAGAAAGGTGGCTCAGTGGTTAAGAGTACTGGTTGTTCTGCTAGAGGTCCTTAGTTCAATTCCCAGCAACCACATGCTGGTTCAGAACCATCTAAAATGGCATCTGATGCCCTTTTCTGCCATACTGACCTACAGGAAGACAGAGCACTCATATACATAAATAAATAAATCTTTTTTAAAAAGTGAATTTAATTTGCTAAAAACAAACTCCAAGGCATTACAGAATTTATTTTTTAACCAATTATCAATGCTACATTCTGTGTATACTTTTCATAAGCTCTGTATTGATACACAACCTAGTTCTCTCAAATGACTGAGTTGAATGGATTTGAAGTTCATGTGAACAGATGGGATTCTTCACTAATTCTTCTCAAAGCTAATGTGTATAGCAACAGACTGATATCTTAACTAGCCTGCTACACTATCTCCCCTTTTATTCATGGTTGTGACAACAGTTTCTCCACTCATCCGATGGGTGATCAGAACATTTTCCAACTTTGTTAAGGAGACTTTTTTTCAGAAATACATCCTTTAAAGCCTTCTTCTACAACTGGCATCTTCATTTTGAATGTATGAAAAAACTTTAGATTTTAAAATGGCAATGCCACCCATTGTATTAAAGACACATTACCTTGTTGGAGTTTTCTAGCAAAAACTGGAATGTGTTCTGTATAGCTTGGCAAGTTTCTAGCTCAGTCCTGCTGAAGGCTATTAAATAATCCTTGAGGTGGTCATAGACATTTCCATCAAGAGCCTAAAAGAGAGGAATATAGAGAAGCCAAAAATTATGATAGAGCTTTGGCACACAATTCCTTTGTCTATAAGAAAAGCAGGAATGCTCACTTTAAAAAATTATTAATAAGCTGACAAAAAACAGATATTACCTAAGAATATGTGAACAGTGAGCAGTTACTAGGGAAGTCCTGAATCTTTCATGAATAGCAACCAACAAAGGGAAACTTTAATATTGCTAAAGCTTATTTAAAAAAACCAGAACATTTTGGAAACAAAATCATCTGGGTTCTGATCTTTGCTTATCTGCCTCTGTAGACACATCATGACAATGAAGTGTAGGAATTTTACACCAACTAATGAAAGAATCCAGGCACAGAGCTTGGAAAAGATACACAATAAATATTAAACCTCCATTTTTCTCACCCAATATTGGTAAAATTAGAATTTTGTATATATCTGCTACAGAGTAATCTGAGAGAAAACATAAAATTTCACAAACATTTATTCATGTTTTTGTTTGACTATCTACTAGAAAACATTCTTATCAACACATGTGAAATAGAGAGGCCAAAAGGAACAACACTCAGGTCTCATCAACCCTTCCAAGAACTTTCCTGCTATTCCAACCCATCAAAACAGTAGCCTTATCTTTGTTTTTGTTTTTCTTTCTTTTTTTTTTTCTGAGACAGGGTTTCTCTGCAGATTTGGAGCCTGTCCTGGAATTCATTCTGTAGAAAGGGCTGGCCTCAAACTCACAGAGACCTACCTGCCTCTGCCTCCCAAATGCTGGGATAAAGGTATGCACCATTATCTTTTAAGTCTGTATTTTTTCTTTTCTCATAAACTGACAGAACTGGCATGCAGCTAGCTCTGTGCACAATGATTGCAGCTACTTTCTAATCAGAGCTCCCCAGCTCTCTCAAACAGTGTCAATGAGCTTTCTTTAATAACGGCTTGTGTACATTTTTTTGTCCCAACAAAAAACTGCCAACCTTTCCTTTGTTTCCTAGACATTCTAGAGGTCATTTTAGCATGTGTGAAAGTGCTCTAGACATCAATATTTTTTATTACTTCCAAATGAATTTTTGTTTTGGAGTTTCACTTTTACTTTTATTTTAGCTTTGGTAGCTGCTTCTAGTTCTCTGAGGATACGCAGGAGTAGAACTGTCTTTGGCCATACGGCAACTTTGTTTTTCATAGTGCTGTACAATATCAATCAGCAATACATGAAGATTCTAATATCTCTATATCCTTGCCACCAACTTTTGGGGTATGTGTGTGTGTTCAGCTTTGTGTTTTTTATTGGTGTTGTTGTTATTTTATTTATTATCTTATGTGTATGAATGTTTGCCTGATGTGTGTCTGTACGTCACTACCCACTGAACCATTTCACTGGCCCAATCTCAGCTTCCAACCCTTCTGCTTTCTCCTAGCATTAGATGATGTGCTATCATACCTGGTTCATGCAGTAATGGGCATTGAACCCAGAGCTTTTTGCATGCTGGCCAAGTACTCTACCAACTGAGCTACATTTCTAGCCTCTGACTCAAATTTTTTAGTTGGGATGTCTTTCTGATTTCAACTTGCAAGAATTCTTTATATACTGTAGATACTAGAGTTTTGCAAGATACATAATTTGGAAATATTTCCTCTCATTTTATGAGCTGCCTTTTTACTTTCTCAAGCATTTGTTCGTTTTGTTTTTAGTTTTTTTCATAGTCCATAGAGGCTTTTTATTTATGTGTTTTACATCTCTAGAAAAAGAATCCCAGGATTTCCCCTCCTGCGTGTTTTTATCTTGCTTCTCCTTGGTCCATGATGCCAGCTGAAGCTGTCAGTACAATGAAGTCAAACTGACAGGGTGGGAGCAGATTGTTCTGCCATTTTCCTAGGTCTGTGACCTGCACATCAAATCTAGGGCTGATCACTCCACACTTGTTCAACCTGCTTGTGAGGTTCATGGCAACTTTTCCAGCTCTGTGGTCATCAAAGATTTCAAATTCACCAATGCAATCATGCTTCATCATCACAGTTAGGAACTGAACGATGACTTTGGGGCAGGGTCTGATGAGGACCTGGTGTTTGCCTCTCTTCTCAGCATTGTTGATGCTCTTCAGAACACCAGCTAGGACATTCATGTGTACTATGGTGATGGTGTGGAAAGATTAAGCGTCTTTTTGAAAGATACATTTTAAAGCCAGTCAGTGGTGGCAAACACCTTTAATCCCAGGTAAAGGCAGGCAGATCTCTGAGTTTGAGGCCAGCCTGGTCTATAGAGTGAGTTTCTGGACAGCCAGGGCTAAATTTTGATATCATCTAACATTGCTGGTTTTTTCCCTTTTATTCCTTATATGTTAGTGCTATTTATAAGAATCATCTATAGAAGTGTCAAAAACAAACAAATCCAAACCTGTTCCCAAGGCATTGAGTAGTAATACTGAATTGTGAGTGGTCGTTGCCACTTACTGAGCTTCATCATGCTACCCAAGGGTGACCAGAAGAAGAAAGATGCTTTAATCCCAGCAATCGGGAGGCAGAGGCAGGCGGATCTCTGTGAGTTCAAGGTTAGCCTGGTCTACAAGAGCTAGTTCCAGGACAGCCTCCAAAGCCACAGAAAAAGAAGAAAGATGCCAGAAAGTTGGCCAAAAAACCCAAAGACCCAGTAGATAAGTTTGGCGACAAGGCCAAAAAGAAGTGGTCCAAAGGCAAAGTTTGGGACAAGTTCAACAATCTAGTCCTCTTTGACAAAGCTAATCTGTAAGGAAGTGCCCAACTATAAGCTAATTACTCCAGCTGAGAGACTGAAGACTTGTGGTTCCTTGGCCAGGGCAGGTTTCAGGAGCTACTTATAAAGGACTTATCAAGCTGGTTTTAAGCAGAGCACAAGTGATTTACACCAGAAACACAAAGGGTAGAGATGGTACAGCTTCTGGTGAAGATGCTCGAACAGGTTCAATCAACTGTACATTTGGAAAAATAAAATTTTATTAAGCAATAGTAGCAATAATGCTAATTTGTCCATCTTTAACCACTAGATGGCACTGTTGAGTACTATAAATCCCGGCAGTGCAAATGCCTTAACTATAATCTTCATGTAGTTATGAACATTATCAGACACTGGTGTGTTGAATTGAAATATAAATTTCTATCTCAAATCATGATTTTCATTAAGTTGTTTTAAAAGGGGCATATATCTTCTGATATGACATTTTTAATTTAGAAATAATAATACTGTTTGCAAGAAACCATTCAAGGGGCTGGAAGGATGACTTGGGGGGACAGGAGCACTGGCTGCTCTTCCAGAGGACCCAGGTTCAATTCCCAGCACCCACATGGCAGCTCATAACTGTTTGTAACTTCAGTTCCAGGGGATCCAACACCCTCACACAGGCATGAATACAGATAAAGCACCAATGAACATTAAATAAAAAAATAAAAAAGAAATCAGTCAAAACGTTATATACAACACATGGTAAAACAGGTATTATGAATAAGGCATGCATGTTAAAGCAAACTAAATTCCCATGTAGTCTGAATGATCTTGCTATTTAGTGTCAACTGTACTTAGGCACTATGCTAGCTAGCTATGTACAAGTACCAGGAAGCAGGAAAGAAAAAAAAATCAAGGTCTTTAAAAGTTAATTAATTTTAACAGTGCTAGGGATCAAACCTTTGTACTTCATGCATTCAAAGCACACACTATAAGACAAAATTACATTGCTAGCCTTCAAGGTACTTTTGTTATTTCTTATCTGGCTTTTCCCAACAATTTCCTACATCTAGTTGTTTCTATCAATCCTTTTCTTTCTTTTTTACTTTTTGGCAAGATCTTATTATGAAGCACTGGCTTGCATGAATCTCACTATGAAGACTGGGCTGGCCCCAAACTCAGAGATCTGCCTGAATGTGTCTCTGGAATACACAGATTAAAGGTATATTACCATGCCTGGCCCTTCCAACCCATGTCACACTGCAGCTGAGAGGATATTTCTGAATTGCATACTTTATATGACTGTTCATTAGCTATCAACTGCATGATTTAGACTTGGCTTATATTTACCCCTTTTCACTCACTCAGGCCCCATGCCCTCTCTGTCACAGTTTCCCTAAACTGTGCTCTACCAGTACTTCTCTTTTGCTTCTGAGCTTTCCCACCCGCCTTTTCTCCACCCACTCTTCCCTGTCATTATTCTTCTGTGAGAGCTTCTCTTGATCGCTGTGAACTCTAGGTATTTCTTGTCATTTTACCACAAGACATAACCCTGTGTCAATGACACTTTGATTTTTCTTTGATTGTTGAGCCCTGTGAATAGGAGGGGCCATGGCAGCCTGGTTAGTATGAAGCCAGACATACTGACAACGTTTAGCAAATACCTGTTTGAAAAATAATGTATTGGATCAGAATCTACTACAGGTTTAAAAATATGGATTAACTCCCATGACCAATGGTATTAACATTAGCAAAAGAGAAGCCATAGAATTTACATACTGTATAATAAAGAAGTTCCAAACTTCAAAAAAGTGTGTGTGTACCAAATAAAACATACAAAATTTTGCTTTCCTTTTTCCTTCTATAACTATAATTTATATCAGACATATTCCAAACTGTGTCTTTTTGTTACATTATAAGAAAAACCTTAGCTGGGCAGCAGTGGCGAATGCCTTTAATTCTAGCACTGGGGGAAGGGGGGTATTACAGGCAGGTAGATCTCTGTGAGTTCAAGGCCTGCCAGATCTACAGAGTCAGTTCTAGGACAACCAGGGCTACACAGGACAACCTTGTCTTGAAAAAACAAAAAAACAAAAAAGAAGAAGCTTGATTTGCATAGATAATTGACTTTACCTTCCTATATTTTGTTTCTCCTCAACTAAACAGATCAAAAGCCATATAGTAGTAGATTTCTGAGACCCTCATGTCTTGGATCCTGGAACCCTGATTAGGGATGGAGAGGGAATGAATGAAAAAAGGATAGACAGACAGATGCACTCACACACCCACGCCTGCATGCACAAAGCTGGGGTCAGGTGGAGTACTACATCTTGTTACTGTGGGCAATTCGGAACCTCGGTGTGTTTATTAGGGACAGGATTAGGGGAGGGGTTAACTAATCTTGGTAAGAGGTCTCTGTAGATAGCAGTCTCAGGCTGTAAACACCTGGGAGGAGGAAGCCTGCACTTGCAACTGAATACTCTGGGGAAAGCCTTGCCATCTTTCTTTAGCCTGGCCCATATGGTAATAATGGCTTTGTCAATTTCTCATGGGTCTAAGGCCGTGGAGTCCTTGGCATAGCTGTGCCCATGTCAACAATACACATTCACTCAGGATTTCACACATTCCGTCCGGGCTTCTTCTGCTTCTTACCATAAACAATTTCTATTTCAAACTCAATCAAGCAAATCCAAATGATGTATGCTTCTTATAAATTTAAAGTAAGAATTATTATTTCTTTTTAAAAATGTGTGCATTTTATTATGCATACAGTGTTCTGCCAGGCATGTCTGCCTGCAGGCCAGAAGAAGGCACCAGAGCTCATTATAGATGGTTGTGAGCCACCATATGGTTGCTGGGAATTGAACTCAGGTACTCTGGAAGAGCAGTCAGTGCTCTTAATCTCTGAGCCATCTCTCCAGTCCCGTAAGAATTATTTTTAAGATTTATTTTTAATTATTTGTATCTGTGGGTGCTCATGGAGACTAGAGATATCAAATCCCTCCCTTGGAGCAGGCAATTGTAAGCAGCCTAAAGTGTATGCTAAGAATTGAACTTGTGTCCTCTGCATCATACATACATACATACATACATACATACATACATACATACTCTTAACCACTGTGCCATCACTCCATCCCCTTAAAATAAGAACTATTTACATGATAAATGATATAAAAATCACAACTATAAAGGTGTGACATGGGCATAAATAATGGTGGTACATATGAATTAGTCTGGATGAGTTCCTTGATTGTCTCTAATACTTTAAAAATTTAGTAGGTAAGCCGGGCATTGGTGGCGCATGCCTTTAATCCCAGCACTCGGGAGGCAGAGGCAGGCGGATCTCTGTAAGTTCGAGACCAGCCTGGACTACCAAGCGAGTTCCAGGACAGCCTCCAAAGCCACAGAGAAACCCTGTCTCGAAAAACCAAAGAAAAAAAAATTTAGTAGGTAAGTCATCCAAATATATGTTTCAAAACTTTTGACTATTTAATACAGAATTTTAAAGGCTTTTAAATTATTTTATGTATAGGAGTGTTTTGGCTGCATGCATGAATGTGTACCATGTGCATGCCCAGTGCCCATGAAGGTCAGAAGAGAGGGCTAGAACTCCTGTGACTGAAATTACAGAAGGCTGTGAGCCACCATGTGGATGCTAGGAATTGATCCCATGTCCTCTGCAAGATCAACAAGTGCTCTTAACTGTTGAGACCAACTCTTTAGCTCCTTAACACACGTATTTAGGAAAAGAACTCTGTAATATCTAAATTGAGAAGCCACAGGGCCTTTAATCAGTACAATTGAATGGTCCATCAGCATTAAAACAACAACAACAAACTGAATTTGAATGCCTTCAAGGAGTCATGTTTCTTTGTTTTTCTACATATTCTTCTGGTTTCTTTACTCGTACTACCTGCAAGATCTCTAAAATCCAAGTTCATAAGAGCAATTGTTTAAAATAGGAGGGAAAACAGGGAGCATACTAAAGGCACACACAAAAACTTGGAATTCTAGGGTCCTCTATCCAATATCTACTTTACAGGAAAACTATAAATTTCCTGGAACTTGCTCAAAGAGGAAAATCATGATGAGCTAGGAATTAGGAGAAGAACACTGTGTCATTTTCTAAGTAATTTCCCCTCAAGAGAGAACTTTAAACAGTGGCCTCCTTATTTAGATTCAGGAAGGTCAGAATCTGTACTCAGCATTATGCTGAGATCTTCCTCCACACAGTTAGAAAAACAAACTCTCCTCTTTCTGAGAGCAGTGGGCATTTCTAAAATAGTGAAAGTCAAGGAAACAAATATCAAAATGATAAATGAGAACTGTCTTAAAGTTAAATCACAAAATCCTTCAGACCGCTGCTGATTTTGGAAGATACTGATTGCTAACTTGCTTTTGTTTATCCTTTCTCAGAAGTCCCAAATTGTACCAGTAAAGAAAAAAAAAACTTTTTATAAATCTAAAGGAACCAAGGTAAGTTCCAGGCTGCATTTCTTAAGTGTAAATATCTTAACCCATGACTCCATATATCAGTCAA